CCCGGACGTTCAAGTCCCTATCTCGCAGACACGTCCGTTAGATAGTGGTTAGGCAATATGGAAGCTATGTTGAGCCCCGTTAGGGGAACCTGTTCAGCCAAATGTCCAGATGATGCAGATGATGCAAAGCAGAAACTTGCATGTCTTGCATCCCTAAAGCCTTCAAGATACCCAACATTAGCGCGAAAGCACTTTAAGCCGGTTCCAAAAACGTGAAAAAGCACAGGATTCTAGAGCAAAAATGCCCCCCCCCTAGCTAAAGCTATAGTATACTGACGATACTAACGGATGCTCGCGTGCCCTATAAAACGCCTCAGCACCTTCGGTGCGGGCGGATTTTGAAACTGTTCGGCAAAACATCCAAGAGGACAGGATGCAGAACTCCATTCTCTCGAGTCAAGATTTGCCATGAACAGCAAGCAGGTTTCAAAAGCTCATCAAGAGCTTATGTCACTTTTGTTTCTGTCTTTGGGGCGTCTCTGGCCTTTTCTAAGGATGTATGCCAAACTGAAATCTGAGCTGGCCTCCGATGGACCTGTCGAAATTTCGATCAAAGAAACGCACCTTGCCTGACAGCCATGGGAGAGTGGTGCTTTTTGCTTTTTGATCGTCTGACCAAGCAGGGAACCCACCAATCGCACCAAGGGATGAGGCGGGTGATGAGACAATGAAGGATGCAAAGGAGTGGAGGCCGGAAAAGGATGCGAGACAGATTTGTTTCCAAACAATGGACCTGGCACCTGTGGAGTTTGGACTGTCCTTTCATAATGACTAATACTTAATATTGTCCATTTGATAGCATATCATTTGGTACACCTCGACGCCTTCCATTGGAGCACAGCCTCACGCATAGAACATTGCCTTTCGCTCTTGTTGTATGGTCTTGAGCTCAGGGAGACTGAAAGGGAGTTGCAGCAGGCAACCGAAGACCTGGGCAAAGCCTCCCACAAGGCTGGATTTCTTTTTTAAATTAGCCCGTGTGCTCTCCCCCCTTTGTCCCTCCTTAATTAAGTAGGCGCCTACTTAATTATGTAAGGCACTGAGGTAGCTAGTACAGCTAGGACGCAGGATAGCGCTCGCACTAAGCGTTTGGTTCCTAGATTTTTGGGGACACCTGACTATAGCCCATCGAATTCCCCAGCCTCCCGCCACCTCCGCCGGGATTCCGTCGGGATTCCGTTTGTGTCGTCGGATCGAGGCAGCCAAAGACCTTCAGCAAGGCACCAGGCAATTGCAGAAGGCGCTGCTGCTTTGGAATTCACTGGGATGACGTGTCGTGAGTTTAATACGGCTGTTCTGGGTGAACTTATTCTTATGGACAACTTACAGGCATGTAGAGATCAAGAAACCAATCAACTTAGGGACAGTCAATGGTTACAAACATGCCAACCGTTGGGAGCTGTTGCGAAAAGCTTCCCTCCCTATTTTGGCTGTGGGTGACTGATTCTTCAATTCTTCCAGCGTTTGTAGCCAGGGGCGTTCCCGAGCAGCTCAAGACATCGAGAAGGAGCGCTTTTGTCTCACATGCAACGGTTGGATGGTGGAAGACATATCAGGCTTTTGCTTCCCCTTATTTTGTGGTCGAAGAATCCTTGGAGCAGCCGTCACAAGCTTGGAAGAGCCAGTTTCTTCTTTGCCGAAAGGAGCTGCAAAGAGAAGAACAAGGATAAGGTCTCGCTGAGCCAGTCGAAAGCTGAAGACATTTATGAAGACCTGAAGAGTGCTGAAGACCTGAAAAGTGGCCGTGTGCAGTGTGCACAAAGCACTGGGTTTGTCCGCTTTGATACTGAGATCAACATGGTATGAATATCTATGCGTACGAATATGATAGCTAGATTACGATGAACTTGAAGGAGCAACGGAGCATGTGAGTGGCAGCTCGCTTCGTGCTCTTGTTTAGACCGCTGTTTTCATGCAAATTCCTCAGCAGACTCCATCCACTCAGATTTGACACATCCACATTCTTGCATGTTCGGTCATAAAGTAAAGCCTGAAATGCTCGCATCCATTTTGATACCTACCAAGGACGGTGCACGTTGCTACGCCTTTGTTTCTGACAACAACGGCACGGATCCAACGCAATGCCCTGGACCCTGGATGTGTTGTGGTGCTCCGGCTGAATTTTGATTTTGGAGCAAATTTGGCAAAGCAGCCGCACTTCAGCGGCACTTCAGCAAGCATCATGTTAGCCAAGGAGACGATGGCCAGTGGCAGAAAGATGAGAACATTAAATGCGTGGTGGCACAGGCGCTCCAGTGGTCCATTGAACCCAGGGCTGGAATGCCATGGAATGCCTCCTTCCCCCCGACGCCAGCATCGTGTTGCACCGCTATTCTGCCCGTGGCAGGCGTCCACGGATCAGTTCACCATGCTTAGAAGCCAGGCCACGGCGAAGCCAGTCAAGCGCAGACGCCATGCCGTCATTTTGGCCACCCGATCCTTCGACATTTGTACTTTTTGTTGAGAGTGTTCGTATAACTTGCAATGGTACAGGTAGAAGAAGATCTGGCACATTATGGCTTGATGGATGATAAGAGTGAGGACCTTACTTCAGCAGAGGGATTTGAAAACAGAAAGGTGTCCAGTCTTTTCCCATACTGAGATGCCATCAGTATTTTCTATCAGGCTTAAAGCAGATGTGGAGGAAGCTGGACTCAGACAACCACTCAGTCGGAGATTGAATCTCTTGGTTGGATTTTTTCAGCTTTCGCCACGTGACTGAAAGCACACCCGAAAGCCGACTCAGAATGGCAACAACGTGGTGAGCCTTGCAGAGATAGATGCCCTTGTCGTCGATATGACCAAGGCGGTTTGATACGGTGGTGTATTTTCCCTATGGTGGGATCCAAGTGCTGAGCGGACTGATGAATACTTCCCTACTGTAATTCTTTTGGCCAGAGGGCGGCATGAAACTGATAGACACATCCGCAGAAATAGACTCCAATTTCTTATGCGGGAGTAGAACAATCTGCATTCCGACTTGGTGTGAATTGATCTGAATGGTCAGATTTTAATTGTTCTTTTTCTTCGGACTTTGCTTCTCCATTCGATTGATTGCAGGCTGGAATTTGGCCTGACTGGCTGAACAACAAGGATTCGATCAGGAGGGCGTATGAAAAGACGATCAAGTGGCTTGGTAGCACTTTCAATCAACAATAAGAAACGCTCCAACAGGTTGGTAACCCAAGAATTCCTTTGCCAGTGGTTTTGCACATGAGGATTGATGGTGATGAAGACGACTGGGTGGAGAAGGACGACTGCGCAGGGCTGGTGGGTCGTCGAAGCCAACCCAACATGAACCAAAAGCGAAACCTTGGTGATTGGCCAAAAGCTATTAGTAGCATCTTGCTCCTAGTAGCGATGCCCTTTGTTCCTAGTAGCTTTTTGTTACTAGTAGTAAGGCCAGGAGCTACTAGTAGCTTCTTTTTCAACCTGGAGATGCCAAGCAATCCGGACAATTCAGCAATCTGTCACGTGCCAGGAAGAGTTTCACGCACTACTTCTCAATCTCTTTTGGTTTGCCTGGCATGTCCTGAAGATTGTGCTTGGTCCTGTGTAGATGTTTTTTGCCAGTCTGAGCCGGTCCTGTGGCATGTTTTTCGCTTTTCACTGCTTGGTTTATGTTTGGAAGACACTTGCAAGGCTGCTTGAGGACACAGAATAGTAATGAATGCTGGGTCAAATACATCACATTCAGGTTTGAGATGAATAAACATTGTCGGTAGATATGTGGCCATCAACCAGAAGATCTGAAACTGTTATGTTGTTTGAGCCTCTCGGTGGTTTTTGCAAGTGTTTGAAACCTAGGGAATGACCAGAATGCTTCCTGCTAGCTGGCAGGTTTGGGCATTTGCATCAAATCTTTGAGCACCTGGACACGCAACTCGGCAAGAAGGACTCTGGCTTAACTCTGCCTTCCACTTTGGGTGATCCGATAGTGTATTTTGCTAATTCTTTCGCCCCGGGGAAGAGCTTTGTGTTTCTACAGACTACAGACATGGTCAACATAGAGCTGAGGAGCCATGATGGCAGATTGTCCCTGGAGGAATTCCAAGCAGGAATGGGCGAGTGCCACCCTTACCACGCCCACGAAGTCGTTTTGTAAGTCAAAGCCGTGGATTTGTTGATGGAGTTTGACGCGAACAGGGACACCATCTTATCTCGTTACCTTGCAAGGCTGGGAATTCAGCTTCCTCCTGATCAAGCAGAAAAAGAGTTTAGGCTGGCCCACTTTAAGATGCCTTGATTGGGGAAACAGCAAATTGAATGTTTGCATGTCTTGTTCCTGGACTTTGAGGGCAATTGACTTGGATCATGGTGGTATGGTCCTTTTCACAGAGTTCTGTGCCTATGTGCGGAAGCAGCTCGATTGGCTATTGGCTAGGCTGAAGTTTTGTGTGTCGCTACTTACTACACATGAGGTATCATGTTGGAGATCCTTGTCTAGTTGCTACTGTTTTCCTCCTGACCCGATTGGGGTATGTGACATTAGGGACTTGTTGGGCACTCCATCAGTAGAGCGTGTATGGAATTGAGCTGAGTCATTGCATTTCATGATTTGCGATGCAATGAGTTTGCTTCACAGGTACAAAGAGACCAGAGAAGCGTCACATTGGGTCATGCAGCGTCACATTGGGTCTCCCTTTGCAACTGAGGCGAGTTCAACCAGATCACAACCCGGCTTTTGATGCGGACATTGTGCCCCGACTTGCTGGTTTCTCTATGTGTGGCCAAGCTGGAAACTCGCTCATCCGTCAAGGTCACAAAAGACAAGTCCAGCGACACGCTCAGAAAGAAACACGGAGACAAGGCGCGCGCATCCTCATGAGGCATACGAGAATATGACATAATGACATAATGATGATGCTTAGTGCCAAACTCAGGACTAGGTTTTTGCAGGGGCTCAAGAGCTGCATCAGACAAGAATGAAGCAGTCGTTCTTTACTTTGGGTTCGCACGATGACAATAATTGATAGTAGTAGATTATGGGTATTAAGCGAGCTCCGAATTCGTGTTGCTTGCGGCGCAGCAGGCCACTCATGGCCAGTTTGTCCAAAAGAAGACCTTAGCAGACTTTGACAAACTGGAAAAGGATATCAAGGCTTGCTGTCTCTTTTTTTCTTTCCTCAGAACGATGGTTGAACACTGAACACGTTCAGTGGAAGGTGCAATACTTGTATGTGTCAGGACATGATAAAGGCAAATGACCAGGCAAGGCTCTCGAAGAGTCTTGCTTGCAAGGATCAACAGATTTGAGTGAACATTTGGGCTTTCAGTCTATGGTCCCGCGGGCTTTGTTCTTAGGATGTGGAAGCGATTGGACTTCAATGGTAACAACATTGTGTCTCTTGCAGAGGTGCAGACAACTGGCCCCTGTGTGATTTCAGGGCCGTGCCTTGTTATGCATGGCAAGGTTGACAAACTGGTGAACGAGCAGTTCCCCTTGTTGAACCACAAGCCTGCGTTGATGCGAGCGTTCCAAGCAACGCTCAGAGGAGGCAAGACACCTATACTTGGGCTACAGTGTACAGAGTTAGCTTGCTTAAACCGTCTTGTTGTGACGCGAGGCAATGGTGACGAATGGGTCCAGAAGCATGAGTTTAAGATGCTCCTTGGCGTGGCGCTCAGAGCTGGTTGGACTAGCTGGTTGGACTCATGCCAAGTCATGGCATGGCTGGTGGCATTTGAAGCTTGTCTATGCTTGTCGCTTTCATGACATCGGCATATATCGTCATGGCTGTGGGTCATGAGGGAACCTCTTCTACTTCAACAAGCTGTTTTGGCTTTTTGATCAGGCCTGACTGGCCGAGCATTCGGCATTCCCGACCCTCTTGCGAGTCGTCGCAGGTCGATGAGGACCACGACAGGCGCATGGACCTGAAGGTGGGAGCGGGTCCGCGGGTCCATGTGGGGTCTCAAAAGCAACGCAACGCTGAGCTCCAGGAGTTCCAGTGGTGCATGTCAATGTGTGGATTGAAAATGTCACAAGCGAAGGCCGAGGCAGGACGTTTCTCAGTCAGACAGAATTGGGAGAAGCAAGAATCGACGCGATTCTCGATTTTGGAGAGGCAGAATTCAAGAAGATCGATGTTAATGGTGGTGGGATTGTTCTCTTCGACGAGTCACTTGGCCGCTTCGAAAGCCAAGCTTGGCAAGATCAAAAGCCCATTTGTATCCATTTGTGCCCTGCTTTTTGAGGTTCTGCAGATATTTCACAGATCGACAATGCCCAGAGGCAATGCAGGAACTGCCGCGATCCCATCTTTCCGTCTGAGCATCAAATGATAGAGAACACAACATGTGCTCATTGTGGACAGGGGATATTTTAAAGAGGGAGTCGAAAGACATGGGGCACCTTTAACAAGGACTCTTGAGGCGCACAGTGCCCTCAAGTTTCTGACTCGCTCATGGTCAGAGGAAGAAACAAAGAAACAAAACAAGGACCCTTGAAAGGAGCCCCTAGTAAAGGGTTCTTGATGAAAGGGGCCTTTACCCACAACCTTTTTCTTTTCAATCCAACCCTTTCTTTTTTACACTGGAGTATGTGTTTTAGATCCTGAGTTGCCCAAAAAGGGTATGGTCTTGAAAACATTCTAAAACCACCCATGTGTCAATTCCTGGAACCTTTTTGCAACCCTGGGAGTACGCTTGTTCGTGCTTTTAACCCACTATTTTTTAAAGACCCATTGAACCTCCTTTTCTGACCCAGCTGCTAGCACCGTGGAATACATGTTCTGTCAATGCAACACCGTTGTGCTTTTTTCTGATGACATGTGAGAACGCCCGGATCTTGTCGCTTGCCCAAATACTTTCTCTAGGAGCTCACAAAGATCTTCATACGAGGTAAATGCAGGCAACAGTCCATTCACTATTCGCGCTGCTACGCGGCTGGGTCCGTCCGCACCGGGAGAAATGTGTGTTGTGGTAATATTGCGGTATCTGTGGTGTGGGCAGTAGTATAGTATCATTGCAAGAACTGGTTGTGGCTAGATTCTTGTGACAAACTGCTCTTCAAAATATGTTCTGAGTGCTATTAATCATAAAATAAATAGACATCATCCCGGTTCTGCCTGGTCAATACGAACCCCTAGCCAGCTAGAGCTGTACCGTGAAGCCGCTGGTGTTTGTTAATGCCGGTTCTACCTTGTTATTTTGACCAAATCTCAACCAACCAACTTTTTTTATTTCATTTTTTTCAATATGGCCTCAAAATTTGCACGTATCAAACCATTCGTGAAACGCCGTTATTTATAACGTTTTTTGCACTCGATTTTCAACAACCTTCAAACAGTCAGATTTCTCGCCCGATAAAGAGGCCCCCCGCTAAAGCTGAAATCTGGCGATTGACTATGCTATCCGGATCCTTTGCAGTCTTCACTCCGCGGTTTTCCTCAATGCGTGGCTGCATGTGGTCGGCAAAGCGTATTTTCTCCCATAGATGCTTGCAAAAAAGCTGGGAAGAAGCTGGCAGGAAGCAAAGTTTTCATCGGAGCCTTCTGCTATGACCACTGTCCAAACGAAAAACATGTCGGCCAATCAAGCCTATAGCCTACACTGCATTCCTCTTCTGTTGCAGCCCATGACTTTCGAAAGACTGCTTCTTGTTGCAGAAGGAAGTGCTCGTTGCATACAGCACTTGCGGCGCCGTGGCGCTGTGCGCGCCGCTTCTGCCAGTCTACTGCAGTTTGTTCCCATTTCGACTGCGACAGGATGTGCGACGGGACCACCTTCTGAAGCGCCAAAGAATTGATGTCCACCAGTGGCCGGTGGCTGCGACATGTGTTCCGACAGGTTGTTGCCGGTTGCTTCTCCAGCATGAGCTGCGAAACTGCGAAACTGCGCTCAGCATGTTTTCCCGATGTTGCAAAGGCCCGAGTATCTCACTCCTGCGTTGTTCTCGCGGGTATCGTCTCCGAGTTTCTGCGGGGCGGTGCGCCGGAAATCGGGTCTTTTGTCCAGAACCTTGCGTGCGCCCAGATGGGCGCCCCGATGCTAGCAAAACTTGACAGGATTTGAAGGGGCATCACATCTGCTTGTAGGCCATCGCTCCATTGCTATTAGGTTGGAGGCAATCGCTAGTAGGTTGGAGGCCATTGCTCGCGGGTGGATTGAGTACATCTGCGACTCTATGGTGGGCCCTCCACGACTGCAACTGATGGAATTCTTCACATCTGTCCTGTGTCAAAAAGTCGGTTCCAGGATCAACATACCGGAGTCCTGAGGTAAACAAGGGCTTCCCGGGTTAGAAACAGTAGCTGCGGGTTGAAACAAGGACCCCCGGGCTAAAAGGAGGTTCCCTCCTTCTTGTTTCATCTCTTTGGGTTCTTTTTAAGAGTTCTTTCACATTGAGAGATCCTTTGTTATCCAGCTCGAGCTGCAGGACTTCGTGGATCACCTGTGAGCAGCTCCAGCGAAGTCTGGTGTGCTGTTTTCTCAGTTAGTGCTCGAGAGGGGGACGCTCTGTGGGACCCATTTTCTTCTTTGGGGCGAGTTTGGCAAACTTTGCCGGTTGGCTGTTGCTTGTTCGTTGAGCTCGCAGTGATTCATATTCGCAACGCGAATCGAGATGCTAAGCCAACCTTTGACTGCTTGACTTTGCGGTGACCACTACATTTCAGGGGCACGTGGCGTGGACAAAAACATTGTATAGATACCTCGTGCATGGATTGCATGTCACAAGAGACCAACAAAATAACAGCTGAGCACCTTGTTCCGTAGCCGATGTCAACCATGCCAGACCTATAGTATAGTGAGTCTAGTCCTCCACTGCAACAAACTGCTTCACATATGCGTTGTGTCATTGTTTCCCATGTGGCGAATGAAACACAATCTCCAATCAATCTTGCTTAGACTTCCCAAAGTATGTCCTCCTGAGGCATGAACATGGCAGGGGCTAGCATACATTCCACAGAAACAATCCAAGCACTGACAGACCTCCTTGGTTGCTGGTCGCAAAGGGATATTTTTCGTGGGGGGGGTTTTATCATTCGGATTGGTGGATTGTTTTTGTTACCTGCAAGCGCGAAACCACCAATCTCGGAAGCAAGGGAAATTGGTAAACAAGAACACAAACAAACAAGCAAGATGGACGAGCACTTGAACATGTGAAGACTGGGGCCCAGAAAGCGTCCCTCTCTGTATTGGGGCTGTGCCCAGTACCTGAGGGTAGCATTGGATTCTTCAACTCATGTATCTGGGAATAGCTGTCCGTTGACCCTGTCGCCTCCGCTCGGTCAAAAAGGGGGCAACGTATTGGAGACCACAAGAGTCGAACGAAGACCGTGCAACGCATTGGAACCGCCAGCCAGAGTCGATCGCCGGCCGCTGAAATCAGCTGTCCCGTTGATCAGAACAATAGCTCACTCAGAGAATGTGGTCGGTTACTTTTGGATTGACTCATTGAACACACTTCGATGAGAAGAGTCCTTAGTGGTGCGTAAATGCATGGAGCAGGTGGAGCAAAGCTTGGGAGTTTGAAGACCCAGTGTGGCCAAAAGGGAGTGCGACCTGGCTGCCCCTAGAAACCGAACAGCCATCAACACAGCATCTCCAACAAGCTCCACGGGCAGTGGCCATCATGATCACAAGACTTTGGAGCAATGCTGTGCAAGGCCAGTTTTGGAGTTAATGTTTGACTTTGACTACTTTGATTATATATAGAGTGTTTTCTTGGGAGGCTGCAGAGCTTTGCAAACAGCACGGCGATGTTTACACAAAGTGCCACCCTCAGTCTCTCCAACCCTCCCAGCGCGCTCGCTGACGCCAAGCAAGCGTCAGGCGCCTGGTCTTCCTGACAAGATCTACCGACCGCATGTGCAGGTGGGTCCCAATAGTTCACCAAGGGATGCAACGAAGGAATACCCAGCAAGGGCAACCACCTGGTAGAAAATCTTTCGATTCCTGTTCTCGATCGCCCTGTTAGTTGAGAAGGAGTGTGCTGTGTAGATCTGTGATTTTGATGTTTGTAAAACGCAGGAGCCAGAACATTCCATAAAGATCAGTGGCCAACCAACAGGTGTGGCTAGGTGCGCTGACTTGTTGCGCTTCCATCAAGAGTCCAGCTTCTGAACATATTTATGTACATTCCAGCAAGAGCTTCTTTGGCTTCCTTCAGGTATATTCCAAAGAATTTTCGACATCAGCAATACATCGATTCCATTAGAAGCGCAGAGTACCCTGTTTGCTGCTTTGCCCGCTTTCTGAACAGCATGTGCCACCGTGTAATGTGTATCAGACAAGCTCGGACCCAGGTATCTCGGTGAAGATTCGCCATACAATCACCTTGGTGGTACCTTCTGGAAGGCGAACTCTTCAGTGAAAGGCGGTTTCTAACAGGTCCGCGGGGTCTGTCAGAATATGCTTCTCGTGCAGGCAAGGCGCTACAACGTCACTTACAATCCCATTCCAGCAGATAGCTCTGTCCTTCCAGGCGCTTTTGAACTTTTGGTGGAATGAGTTTCTTTAGCGATGGCCTCCAACCCAAGAGCGATGGCCTCTAACTAAGAGCGATGGCCTCCAACCTAATTAGTAGCGATGGCCTCCACCCTAGTAGCTATGGCCTCCAACCTAATGGCCAATAGCCTTTTGGTGGAATGAGTTTCTTTGTGAACTGCTTACATTGGCTGCGTCCAGGTGTCCACTTCCACTCCAGGCTCAATGTCTGGGTTGTGGAATGGCATGAACAGGCTGGGCGCATCAACATTTTAATCTAGCTCGACTCCTTCCCCTTCCCACAGATACTTTCGGTGTGGTCTCTAAAAACTTACTCCAACCGACGCAATCAGTTCAGGTCTGCATGGTTCTATCCCGCGTTGCGTTCGTGCTTTTACCTTCATCATTCTGACCTGTCAGAAACACGGCATCTCGCCTCAGGAAAGGCACCGCATCAAATATGTTCGCGCGAGCTATGGCTTCATGCGCGCCAAGATGAATGCGGAAGTGCCGACCTTATTCTCTGGCAGCCCCGTGCCGTGCGTCTCCGTCGGTGCTCAGTGATGATCCGTGACCGAACAAACCAGCACCTAATAATGTAGTCGCCGTTCTGATTTTGTGTTAGCACATTGTTTAAACTTCTTAAGTCTCCATTCTCCATTTAACGGTTTGTTTTTGTTTATTTTCCCAGACAAGAGTTTGCAAACAAATTTCTTGTTGGTACCGGCAAGTGCGCTAGCCCAACTTTTCAGGCATTCCGCCGAGATCTTGTCCAGGCAGGACGTATCGAGCTTAGCTTGTCGGCAGGGTGGCAACAGTGTAACAGTGTGTAAGAGTGTAATGCTGCTGGTTTCAGAAGATTGGTTTACACGCTTACATCCTGTTACATGCTGTTTTTCAGGGAAGATGCCACATCCCTTTCCTTTTGCAACATTTGATCAAGTAGTTCTAGATTGTCCCAATCAAGGCGTGGACAACCGTCGGACCGACCGACAGATTCAGATTCAACAGCTGGCTCGTCCGCACCTTACTGAAGTCTGACCTGTCAGGCTTTTGGTTCTTTTGGTTTTCACTTGGACAGCACACTGGCACACCCAGCAGGTTGACTCGCAATTTAGCAGGTTGACTCGCACTATGACACGTCAACTGTATGCCTAGTGTCACTGGTGCTAATCCGGCTTGTGGACAGAAAGGACAATTTTCTCAGCCATTGAACCGGAGGCGCTGAGTCAAGAAGGCTGTTCAAGAAGAAGTTTGATCGAAAAGATGCCCGTCGTGTAGGAAATTCAGGCTGAGGGGTTCATCCGCAGACCTCGCCAAAGCACCGACCTCATCTTCGATCTTCCTTCAGGCAGCAAGAAAGGCAACGAGCGAAAAGTTCGGAGAGACTATCAAAGAAGAGGCTGGGAGCGGCTGGGGATCAGAGGGTCCTGCAGAAATTCACGATTCACCCATTGAAGACAGAGCTGGATCGTTCGAGATTGTCGCGACGTGTTGTTGAACATAGCTGAACTTCTTTCTGGCAAGTTGGAAGGTTTGCTGCCGTGAGATGGCCAAAGAAGTCCCCATTCTGGGAGAGAAGCGGCAAGTGAGGTCAAGTCATGATTCATGAATATCATGAATCTAATCTGGGAACTCGTGGACAGACATATGGGATATTTGGTTACGACTACTTGTATTCTGTTTCACTGTTGTTTTCTTTCCTCCTGGAGACGGTCTTCTGGCTTTTGTTTTCACCTTAGAGACATCGCCGTTGTATATCGCCAGCGGCTGTTAATGATTGGCTTTTGAAAGGCCTCGTGGAAGAAACAGCACACCTTGTGTTGGCAGTCGGTTTCCAGCAATTCAGAGAGAATGCCACAGGAAGGCGCCGAGCTGCCTCACGTTTGTTGTCTTTGGCTCACAGCCTCAATTAGCAACAGCATCATTTAGGCACATGTAGGCTTCAAATGAGCTTAAATCAGAGGCTCATCACCATGGAAGCTTTTTTCCATTGAGCAGCTAGATTCATCTTCCATTCCATGGAACGAAGCCGAGAATTCAGGACGACATCTTGAGCTCTCGGGGGAGTTCGCAAGACTTCCGTATTTGTGACATTCCCTAATGGCGTTGCTCTGAGTCGACTGAATGCTTAAGTTCAGCGCAAAATCACTTGCTGAACCATATAGGAGTGCCTGACCTTTCTTGAGGCCAAGACAATCAAGTTGCGGGACATCACAACTCAACTCAATGATTGTGCAAGTGCCTCAACCTCCCTGTCAAAGCATATCCAAGCTTGAGAGAATCGCTTCAGGTCTACACCACAGCAAAGTACCCTTTGCTTGTGGATGCCACTGGCCAAGCATGCCAATTTCTCAAGTACCGTAGGCCAGACGTCTTCCGTCACTCTCTGCAGGGTGCAGAACCTGTGCAGTCGCATCAGCTAGCCAATCGCTCTTCCAAGCTTCAACTCGTGCAGTCGCTACCTCTCGATTTTGAAGAAGGGTGACTTCGAAAAAGAGACTTTGAGAAAGGCCCTGGTTCAGGCCCCTCTCTGTTGAAACATCAAACCGTTTGGCATGGTTTGGTGAGTGACAAGCGGCAAGGGTGCAGAGTTGTAAATAGCTACTACTAGTCTACAGTATTGTGTTTGATTGGATCGATAAAACGTGTGTTTCCGCCGCCAAGCAACAAAACAATAATTGTACAACGATCAGTGCTGGAGAGTGGACTCAGACCTCAACCGAATGGCGCTCGGGAGGCTCTCCACAATGGCGCTTGGTTGGTTCTTGATTTCGACACCGTGGACTGCGACTTGGAGTCCTATTTTGAGAAGGACGGGGAGCTAGGTAGCTAGTAGCGAACAAGTAGCTACTTCCGACAGGATGCAGGATAGCTCACGCTTCTTCAAGGAAGTTCCCCCTCAATACCTTTTGACCTGTTGCTCTAGTTACGTGTACAAAGGTTCACCTTGACCCCTGCCGCGGAAGCACGGGTGGTCGCCAAACGACTCCGCGCATGGTGTGCGAGCAAAAAAGGAAGTTCCCCCTGCCTGAGCGCGGGAAGCTTCCTTGAAGAAGCGCTCGCACTAATCATTTGGTTCCTAGTTCCTAGATTTTTA